TTGTAAATTTTGGTCAATGACATGAGACAAAGTATATGTGAACTGCTGTATGAAAAGTGAATTTACTCTGTAAATCTTCACCCAAATCCTAATAAAAAAGAAAAAGAAAAGAAAGAAAGAAAAGCCTTAGATCTTTGGTCAGATAAGGACATTCTTCTTGCCACCCATGAGTTGGCCTGGGTAGTTACACAACATCTTTGATTAGAAGAATTGGGAGCACTTACAATAGCTATCTGGGGCACCACAGAAAAAACTGATCCCCATTGACTCTGTGGGCTGTCTGATACCCTCAAGTAAGCTCTAGGAAAGGAGGAGTTGGTAGGCAGGAGTTGCCATAAAAGTTCTTTGAATGCCCAGCATGTGGACTTGGAGAAGTATGTGCCAAGAGGGTTTCCTGAAAACCCTTAACAAGCAAATTCAGTTCAGGTTCAGGAGCTTGGCATAGGGCTGCAAGCAACGTACATGGATTGGCAGGGGAATACACCATGGAAGTGGGTAATGAACCAGCAGCATGGATACCATTTGATGCAGCGTATGGCAGGCTGTTGAGACCATAGGACTTAATTAGATGTGGTTCTTGGATGGAGGAAACACCTTCTTAGGTATTATCTCTTGGTAGGTAAAGGTCTAACAGTAGAACACTCACACATCTTTACTGTGGGGTGAGGGACCCTGGCTTTGCCAGGAGCAGCCCTGCACCTGACCTTAACTCTGTGAGCATACCACTGTATTCACTGACAAGATGTGTTTCCTGTCCAAGAACTGCCTGGGATAGCAGCAGTCAACAAACTGGAGGGCCAGAGGAAGAAGGGGCCAGGCAGGCCCAGCAGACCTCATCAACATGCAAGACTTGCAGGGGCCCAGGAGCCCTGGTGGTATAATGGTTAAGTACTTGGCTGCTAATCGTAAGGATAGAACCCACCAGTGGCTCCTTGGGAAAAAAGACCTGGCAATATGCTCCCATAAAGACTACAGCCTGGTGAACAGGAATATACCCATGACTATATTTAGGTTTGGCAGATAATATTTCTATGTATATATTTGTATGTGCTATAAATATGTCTATATTTATAATAGAACTAATGGGAGCAAAGTTACGATAACTTCTTAGCCACAACCAAGCACCTTAAGGGAGTGAGTCGCTGGGCCTGCAGTCTCAGGACCATGGTCACAGGGGACATCAAGCTCAATTTGCACAATATAGTACACAAAAACATTGTTCTACATCCTACTTTGATGAGTAGCAACTGAGATCTTAAAAGCTTGCAAGCGGCTATCTATGATGTAGTTATTGGTCTCTCCTCATCTGGAGCAAAGACAAGTGAAGAAAATCTAAGTTGCATGGACATAATTATTCCAAAGGACTAGTGGACCATGGGAACCTCGGCCTACATGACCCTGAGACCAGAAGAACTAGATGGTGCCCAACTACTAATGTCAGCCACTCAGAAAGGGATCACAATTGGAGATCCTGGATAGAGGGGGAGAAAAATGTGGAACGAAAGTCAAAAACATAAAAAAGATGAGGCTTATTGATCTGATAGAGACTGGTGAAACCCCTGAGACTATGACCCCTAATCACCCTTTGGGCCTGGAATTGAACTCACTCCCATGGCTTAAGTCTCAGCCAAACAATAGAGAGGCCTACAAGGTGAATAGTTATACCAGGGAGGTGCAGTCCTTAGAACAGTCAACCATGGGAGATCAGAAGAGCAATGTTTTCAAAGGGAGAAAGCTCAGAAGGCAAGAATGCATAGGAAAGAAGGACACAGGGCAAAGGTAACCACAGGGAGGAAGAGCTGTTAATATGGTGGGGATTTTAATCAATGTACAAATGTACAATTAACAAAATGTGTAGGAACTGTTGAATGGAAAATGAAGCTGCTCTGTAAACTTTCACTCAAATCACAATAAAAAGCTAGAAAAGAGAAGGAAAAAAGATTACACTCTGTGGGCAATTCTACTGTCCTATAGGGTTGCTGGGAGCTCTGGTAGCATAGTGCGTAAGGCACTTGACTGCTAACCAGAAGGCTGGCTGTTCAAACCCACTAGCCACTCCTCGGAAGGAAGGTTGGGCAATCCTACTTCCGTAGTGATACTGCCTCGGAAACCCAAGGAGGGGTCGCCATGAGTCGGGTCCGACTCGACGGCACATAACAACAACAACATAGGGTTGCTGTGAGTCAGAATTGACTCAGTGGCACACAATAACAAGGGCCCTCTAAAGGAACAGTATTCACAGGGCTTATCTCCCAGTCTCTAGCCCAAAGTAAAGATAATGTAATCCAACTACCTGGCAGACTTTCTCATTTATATCTGACCACTGCTTTTAAGGGCAATTTCAAGAAAGTAGGTGCTAATGAGTTATTTTGCTCATTCAAGTCCTAGAGCTTTCCTCCTTTTCTCAGTGATACTTCTTTCAGCCACATGGAAAAACCAGAGATTTTTGTTTGATTGCTCTATCCATTGTCTCCTTCCCTCCACCCCCACCCCACAACTTTTTTCCTCTTCAGGATGATTCAAGTGCTCCCCACAAAATCCAGGAAGTTCTCAAGTCTTGCCTGAAAGAGGAAGAGTCCTTTAACATCCAGAACTCCATGTCGCCTAAACTTGAAGGTAGCAAAGGTGACCAGGCTGACTTGGACGTGAACTGTCTGCAGAATAACTTAACCTGAACCAGAGCAAGAAGAAAGGAAACGGGAGGGTGGGGTGGGGTGGGGTGGGGTGAGAAGAAGAAATGTTATCTCCTCTTGTACAAAGTCTATTTCTTGTAACCATTTGTTAAACCCTTTTCTTTTTCTGATCTCATGGCATGCTTTGATGTATTTTGTACAGGAGGGAAACAAACAAAAAGGAACCTGAATGAATTGCATACCTTGGATTGTTTTGTCTGTGCTATTTGTACATTGCTCCCGCTGCTGTGATTTCTAAACCTATGCCGTTATTCAACTGACTTTTTTTTGTACTTTGACCCACCTTTTTTTGAGATACCAGTAAAAGACAAAGTTCTTGAAATAAAACTTTTAAAAAAGTTACCCATTTTCCTAATGTTATTGTGCCTACTCCCTACCCCTTTTTGTCAGTTTGGGTTGAGTTCTTACCTTCATTGAAGATGCACTTTTGTATGTGTTTGAAATCCCAGAAATGGTTTATATCACTGACTACTAGAATGCTCTTTTGTTCTTACATAAATATCTATTCAACACTTACTCTGAGCCAGGCTTACACTCGATCCCGAGAAAACTAGATGAAAAAGATAGGTCTTAACCTCAAGATGTTAACAGTCTACTGAGAAATAGACTTGTGAACAAATAATTATATATTATAGCAGGAGCTCTGGTAGCATAGTGCCTAAGGCATTTGACTGGTAACCAGAAGGAGGGCAGTTCAAACCCACCAGCCGCTCCTCGGAATGAAGGTTGGGCAATCTACTTCCACAGTGATACGGCCTCCGAAACCCAAAGAGGGGGTGCTATGAGTTGGGTCCAACTCGACAGCACATAACAACAACAACATATAGCAAGAACGAGAACACTCATAAAGTTAGGAGGCAGTGCTATATGACTATAGATTGTGTGAGAGGAAGGGACCCCGGAGGATAAGGCTGTAAAGGGTGATTTAGAACAGATTGTGAAGAGCCTTGAGTGCCAGGGAAGGGCAGGGTCAGGTTTATTTTCTAAAAAAATTTCTCTGGAGAAGGTAGTGAAAGCAAATTTGAGGATGGGGATTGCCCCAATCCAGGCTAATAATAAGAGTGGATTAAAAGAATTAATGCAAATAGCTGGATTTACTATTTGGATTGGGGATGTTTTCTACAATTTGCCTGTGTTCAATCTGTGATAATTCCAATAACCGGAATCCCAATGCATGTGTTTCTGTTGCCTGATTTCTGTGGATTCTCTCTGATTTGTCTCCTGTGTGCCTTATTTTTTAGTTTGTGTTGGACATTGCTTTAAAAATATAGTTAATAGGTAGAATTTGAGGCCTAGGATGATTGCTTCCTCTAGAGAGGATTGTTTTGTTTTGTTTTGTTTTTCCTTAGATCCATAGGGGCCCTAGAATTGCGCTGTCACCTTAATCTAGGTTCGAGGTTGGAGAATTTCTGGGCCAATGTAGCCAGGTCACAGACTGGAAAAGCCGGTCCACTTCTGGTTCCCCTTTACTTCTGGAGCACAATCCCCTGGAGTCACAGCCCAAAGCAGGCAGTGGTTTACCAGTGTTTCACCTTTGATGGCGCTGTATTCCAAGTCCTCCACCCCCAACCCTGCAAGATTTTCAGAAACACAACTTTCTCTGTCAGCCACCTCTTCTAAATGGGCAAGTGCTCCAGGGCTAAAGTGGCCCCAAGTGCTGAGCTCCCCTGCCTGGACTCCTGTCCTTTCTGGGATGTCAGCCTAGTCATTCTTTAGGGTCTTGTTGGCTTTTTGGTGATTGTCATATGTCTGCAGTTTTGGGGTTGTCCTTAGTGGAAGAGTCAGTCCAGTTTACCTCATCTCCCATTTACTGACAACAGAAGTCCTCAGTTTTTTCATCTTGAGACTCTGGCCCAGATGGCATTCAGCTGGTACCCTGAGCTCAGTCTGCTCTTTGCAATTGGGTGGGACTGTATATTGGGGTACTGGGTTCCAACCTGTGTGTATTAATGGTTTTCTAACCTGTTACCCACTTTGGGGAGTTTAGCATGATTTTGCTTAGGACCTCCTGTGTTGTCTGAATTAGGGGACCCATCTTTCTTGGGTAGGCTCCTCTGGCTCCTTCCCCAAAGTCAAGAGGGATTGTATATGAAAGCACTTTGTCAATTCTAAATCCCTGTCCAGAGCTAAGGATTCTTAGCATTGTGTGTCTAAGGAGAGTTTTGAAATGGCATATCAAAGCCCTTAGCTCTGTCTCACCTTCTCGGCACATGCTGGAAGGATAGGAAAACCCACGTTGGAAGGGGAACAGGAGACAGTGGAAGCCTATTGAACAGAGTTACCAGATGTTGCCAAGGGTCTTTGGCCCAAATGGGCTGAAGTGATAGAATAGGATATGCTGATGTCTGTCTGTGGCCAGTCCTCTTTTCTGCCATAGTGTTTGTGCTTCTTAGTGACTGTGATCCACAGGGTTGGTCAGCATCCTCTCTGGGGACCCTGTAGCTCTTCTGTTAGTTTTCTTCCCCTCTCCTTTAGTGATTGCTGCTTGGGCATTCCCATTTCAGCACCCTAGGGCTCTCAGGCAAGTGTGCTCTGTTCCCTTCTCCTATTTGCTTTTTGTATGCCACTTCATATCCTGACCTGTGTGTCTCCTCACTAAAGAAAGGACAAATTGAAAATGTGGAAATCTTAGGCATCATGGAGGAAAAATCATTTGGGGAGCCCATCAGCACTGATAAGGTCACTTCACTCAGGAGAAATGTACCTGCAATGTTGAACAGCCTGTCTACACAAGGCACTTCCTTTACACGTACCTCACACCTCAGCCATTTACAGCACACTTTCCTCTTTGTAAGGAGCTCTGGTAGCACAGTGCCTAAGGCATCTGAATGCTAACCAGAAGGTTGGTGGTTCAAACGCACCAGCCGCTCTGTGGAAGCAAGACTGGACAATCTACTCTGGTAAAGACTTACTGCCTCAGAAACCCAATGGGAGTTGCTATAAGTTGGAATCAACTCAGTGGCAGTGGATTTGGGTGGTTTTGTTTTGTTTCGGTTTTCTATTTGTGCTCTCATCACATCCTCACCAGAATCCTGGAGGCTGGGTCTTGGGACAGGAAAGCATCAGTGGCAGTATTAGCAGGGAGACTTTGGGCTTTGATTTCAGTGCCCTCTCCCCTTTTTCTCCATCACTTCACACTGTAGATACTTGATTAACAGTCCCTTGTCCTTTTCTCATATATAAGAGAAAATGTTAGCTTGCACTCCAAAAACTAACACTGAACACTGGGCTCAGAGTTAAAAGGCCTCTCCTTGTGACCTTATAGCCTTGTGACCTTTCTTAACCTCAGGTTATTTGCAGTGTAGTAAATTAGTTAATATGGCCCTTCTAACCAAGCATAGTCTTATACATGACTTATAAATCGTCTTATAAATGACTGCATTGTACTATGCAAATAAGGTATGTGTGGGGATGGAATAGTTTGCTGATGCATATAACATGCATGGAACCCTTATATGGGATTGCTTAATTCGCGGTCTTGCTGGTGGGAGGCATGCCTGGAAATTGATAAGGAGCTTGCTCTATGACCTTACCTGACAGAGATTTTAGGAGGGCGACACAGAAAGACAAGAAAAAGTTTTAACATTGAAGATAGCAAGAGGTGACAATGTGGCAGCAGCAAGACTGATAGCTATTAACACTTGCCCAAGAAGTCCCCCGAGCTGGGTCTGGTGGTAGAAGGCAAGAGAAGCTGTCCTGACTGAAGAACCATATCCTGAGTTGTTCCTGTTACTTCCGAGTCGATCCTGATCCTGAATTGTACCCTATTCTTTCCCTAATAAACCACTTTATTGTAAGTACACTTTGTGAGCTCTATGAGACATTGCAGCAAATTACTGAAGCCAAGGACAGGAGGGGGAGTAGTTGGTGTTAGAGATGATAGAGTGGTATAGCAGTTTGGACAAGTTGGGCCCTTTGGACATCTTTAACCTCTGCCTCATAGGAACCAGCTTTGTGCTGATTCTTATAAAATAAATTATTCTTTTATTCTTCATCTGTAAAATTCTTACCTTTGTGCAGGACTGTCTAGCGTCAGAAATACAGCAATAGACACAACAGACAAAAAAAGCCCTGCTTTGTGGAGCTTACTTCCCACGGTCATGAAGTTTACACATTTTGTTGTTGTTGTTTAACAACAAATTTTTGCATGCATGTTGTTTGTGGAGCTTACTTCCCACGGTCATGAAGTTTACACATTTTGTTGTTGTTGTTTAACAACAAATTTTTGCATGCATGTTGTTTGTGGAGCTTACTTCCCATGGTCATGAAGTTTATACAAGGTAATATAAATCAGGAAGTATTCTGAGAAATGAGAGGGGGCTGTACAAACCCATTCTCCAGACCCAAAGGAAAAAGTAAAGTGATCATCACAGATACATGAGAGGCTCAGGAAAAAGAGTGAGGGTCTCCACTAAAGCCAACTTGGAAATAATACTGTCCCCTGACAGTACAACCATGAAATTACATAAAGGAGATGACAGCAAAGATATGTGAAGTTTCCCTAAAGAATCAGTTGGCCTAGAGTAATCAGTTACCCTAAGGAATCAGCCTGAACAGTACTTTGGCCAAAGGTTTACCAGAGCAAAAAGAAGAATGTGTTGATCTGAGAGGTTAGCCTTTTGGTGCATGTGTGTGTGTAATTCTGAAATAAGTGCTTAGGCATGGAATTGCTAGGACGAAATTTAGCCTGTTTTTACCTTTACACAATGTGGTAGTTAAGGTTGTGTGTCAATTTGGCTGGGCCTGGTTGATTGGCTGGGCAGCTTATGGTAGTTATTCCCCTGATGAGACTGGCAATCAACTCCATGGTGAGACTTACCACAAGCAGCTGAGTAGCTGCTTTAGGGATGTGGTCTGCTTCCTGTATATAAGGAGAAGGCTTGGGGAACGGTCTCTAGCTGGTGCCACGTTTGAACCCTGCATGTAGTCAAGTCCTTGTTCAGCAGCCTGCCATGCTCTGCCGATAGTGGGACTTTCAGTGGACTTGAATCAAGGGCCTGCCGTGTGTTTTGGTAACATTGGGACTGTGCCTTTTTACTTGTCAACCTTGGGTTTGTCAGCTTCAGCAGTCAGCAGCTGTCTGAGTGAGGAAAGCCTCCAGCTTCAGTGGGCCAGGAGCAAGAGGCAGAGCTAAAGCCCAAGGTTGAGGGGCTTTCATCCAGCTGGGCCTGGTTGAGTGGCTGGGCAGCTGATGGTAGTTATTTCCCATGATGAGACTGGCAATCAACTTGAACTTGGACTTCCAGCCTCCCAAACTGTAAGAGAATAAACTCCTGTTTGTTCAGGCCCACCCATTTGTGGGTCAGACTGGCATGAAGTAACCAAAACACAAGATAATGTCA